TAAAATATTGTGATCACAACACTAATCAGGCATCCCAAGTGCCATTTTTTTTAGTGCTAAGGAAAATCAAAATTTAAAACTTCAATTATTTTCCCCCAGAATTTTTATTTTCAATTGCCCCATGTCAAAATGTTAATTTTGGAAATTGCAACATTATGCTGAAATGATGTGGTAAAATAAATCAGCTGTTAAGAACAATTAGATGAAATGCTATAACTTTTAACACACAAAAGTTATTAGTATAAAACTTTAATCACAGCAAAATTTATTTCTTCTATCTTTTTTTGAAACATTTTTTTCAGATGTAACCTTATGCAAGTGCAAACTGTTAAAGGTGTAATCACTAGAAGCCAAATTAAAAATAATTTATTTTCCTTATTTTTGTGTTAAAACTATATAAAGTCAATATAAATTAAGATTAATGTATTTACCTCAGTACACATTTCAAATGAAACTTAAATATAATTGTGTGAAGATAAAAGTAACATTGATAGAACACCTACATTTAGTAGTATGAGTAAACCTGCAATGCTTGGCTGGTTTTGTGAGGAAAATCACTAGTGAAAGACACTTATTGGTCCTCTTCAATTTCACCTAAGCCACTTTTAATCAAACAAAGTTTGATTAAAAAGTTAATATAAATGAAATTCATCTTTCTCCAGCACACGAAGTTTAAACTACAAGTCTAAGCATTGAAGATTTAATAATGATAACCTAAGTGATTACTTATAATAGTATGCAAATGAAAACAATGGTTAAGATTAACCCTCCATGCTCTTAAAAGTTAAAGACTTTGTAACCATGGATAGTGACTAAAACATGAATGTATTGTTTTGTATACTGACTTGAACATTTTTATATAGGCATTTAGAAGTTATAGGTAGGTAAGAATGAATTTAAAAAATTGCAGAAACTAGAAACATCAAAAGACCAAGGAGGGACAATATTTATCCTCTTAAATATTATTTTTATAAAAATGATCAGTAATACAATTGAGTTCTACACAAATTAGGCAATAGTACTTGTCACTGGCGATGGATACATAACCTTGAATCTTTGCTTCCACTGTAACCAACAAATTAGGTTGAAATGTGAACTTGTTCTATTGGTGTAGGACACCAATCTTTACATTTTTACAACTATTTATACAACAGACAGAATATTAATGACATCCATGCACAAAATCATTCATTTCAAGAAGGGAATCCTATGAAGGATGAATAGAAGCATACATGAAAAGTTTGTAAATGTATACATGCATTGTCCACGAATGCAAAAGTAAATGAAATGAAGATGACAAACTGAACGCAATTGATTAGGAAGCTAGCAAAAATAAAAATACTTAAGACAAAAAAACTCTTAACTAATTAAAAAACATACAACCATCTCATTTTCTCAAATTTAAAAAAAAACAAATTTAATAGTTCCAGCATATAATAATATGAAGGTGCTACCCTCCCAAAGCCAATGACAAGATTTTCAAACAAAACACTACTGCCAAAACTGTCACAGCATCGACCATGTATCCTTTCATATAAACTTCACTTTCTGGGAGTAAAAAAAAAATTAATAAAACAAGGACAGTTAGCTTGCTACGTCACAGAGAAATAACTTCTAAGGGAGCACGACTTCAATGTCGTGAAAAATGTGGGCCAAGATCTTCACATATGGTAGCAGTTTTGGTAAGATAATGACAACATTTTTATATGTTCACAATTTTAGTACACAAATTCAACACAGCCTTAGGACGCATCCTCTCCTTCAATATCCTGGACAGCTTGCTCCTGTTGCTCACCACCTTCATTCTCTCCTTGCATGTCTGATGTCCAGAGTGTGAGGTTGTCACGAAGTAACTGCATTATCAATGTAGAATCCTTGTAGCTCTCTTCACTTAATGTATCAAGCTCAGCTATAGCATCATCAAATGCTGCTTTGGCAAGCCGACAAGCACGATCAGGAGAATTCAAAATATCATAGTAAAATACTGAGAAGTTGAGTGCCAAACCAAGACGAATAGGATTTGTAGGGGCCAACTCTGTCATAGAAATGTCGCTTGCAGCTTTGTAGGCAACTAAACTGTTTTCAGCAGCTTCTTTTCTATCATTCCCAGTGGCAAATTAAGCTAAATACCTATGGTAATCTCCTTTCATTTTATAGTGAAAGACCTTTGATTCACCAGTGGCTGCATTTGGAATAAGATTGTTGTCATTAACATGTAGAACATCATGGCAAATTGAATTAAGTTCAGTTTCAATCTGTTTTCTGTACTCCCTTGTAATTGATTGTTTTTCCTCAGACACTTTTCCTTCATCCTATTGTTCCAAACTGCTTACAATCCTCCAAGAAGCTCTGCGAGCACCGATGACATTTTTATATGCCACTGACAATAAGTTGCGCTCCTCAACAGTCAGCTCTGTGTCTTGCTGGGCAACCTTCTTCATTGAGCTTACCATTTCGTCATATCGCTCTGCTTGTTCAGCAAGCTTAGCTTGATAAACACTATCCTCTCTGTCTGCCATTTCTTGTTAGACAGATGGCAATTTCAAAAATAGTAGAAATCATCATGAAGAAACCTTGATTAGGTTGTTTAATTTGCAAAGAAACAATAGTTTAATCTTGATTTTCCGTTATATATAAAACGTTACGTATCTAATAAAGCTAAGGTTTTTTTATAATTTAATAAAAGAAAAGTTTATAATTTGATTGTTAAAATTATAAACGTAGAAGCTTTTTTTTAAAAGAGTAGCTTTTTTAAAATAAAATAATTTAAACATAAAAAAATTATTTGGACAAATAATTGTATAAAAATGAAATTAACTGTATTTACATTTCTATTTATAACTTAGTTGGGTGACCTCCCCTGGTAATTTAAAATTTACAAATGAAAGCAACTAATACACGTTTTAAAAGTAGAATATGTAAAATCCTAATACATAAATCCCCACGTTCGCACATCTCTCTCTCTCTCTCTTTCTCTGTCCGCAAAAAATTTTCGCCGGACATCACGTCAGAATCGGCAGCGATATATCGAGAACTTTTTACGGACTTTTGTTGAAAATAATATGTTAGATGTTTTAAATGTATAACCACAATTTTACTTAAAGAAGAAAAATAAAAATTAAAGGCGTATTCGAATGTAGAGAAACAGTATTATTTATGCAACCGGAAAAGCATTAATACATGTGAAAAAGAACGCATAAAACTGTGACGTCGCTATTGCTTATACATTAACTAATGACGTCATCTGCTGTGTTTTGAATAAAAAGAAATGAACTATTTCATTCAAATTTGATTTAGATCTACGTACACTATGAAATGTATACAATACAGTTTTTCCGGCCTAAACTCATAAAATTTATTTTATTTATTTGGATTCTAGATCTAGAGATTCTAGATCTAGACTAAATCTAAATCTACGCAATAACTAGATCTATAATCTAGACGTAGACGCTAAGATCTAGATTTATACTCTAACTTCTCTAAAATCTATTCCAAAAATAAATTTCTATATTAGGACTAAACTATTTCAAGACTTATTTATTTTATACAAAATCTTTGTTTGGAACTGGCTAATTTGGGATAAAAAAATTAATTTGAAAGAATAGGCATATTCGCGTAAGTTAAGGTTTTAAAATACGTCTTTTATTCTCTGTGTGTTATAAGGTGCCTATATAGCGGAGATGATAGTGTACTTAAACCCACGCAGGTGGTGCGGGTTCGAGACGCACCAAGCCAACTTGGTAAATCTTTTTTTTTTTATTTTGCTCGGGCTAAACTTTAAAAAAAATTCTATTAGGATTCTAGATCTAGATGATCTAGATCTACGAAGAAATTAGACTTACACAGATGTACACCCTACCTAGATCTAGAATCTATTCAAACAATACATTTCTATACTAAAGTATTTCAGGCCTTAATTACTTTATTGAAATCTTTGTTTATCTATGCAATTTGCTAATCTCTATAATATATAAAGCAAAGTTGTCGAGTGTCCGATAGGGTACTTCCCGGCGCCGCAGGAGCTTCAAATTCGGCACGATCTTGCCTTGGGACGACAGAACACGAGGGCCGGTTGGCCGAAAAGTCTACGATGAGGGGGTCAAAACTGACCTCGACTGACAGGCGCCTTATATGAACTATAAATCGAAAAAAAATGTCCACGGAGGAACCTCTTCATAACTCTTGAGGTCGTAGACCGACCCTCTGGCGAATTAATTAAGCATTCAAATTCTCAATGTTTTCGAAAGCCTAAGCGAAACATAATAAAAATATCAGTTTAAAAACAAAAAGAATACCACTGAAAAGCCGGGTTTTTAAAGTCACTTAATCAGTTTTGGCATTTAAATTAATATGATAAAATGTTTTCTTAGCCACAAAGAATTCTAAAATATAATGTAGTTTTGCTACTGCCCTACTGTTAAGATACCTTAGAAAAGGTCCGTCTACATATGTAATGTATAGCACCATTAGAAGTTAGTTAAAATTATACACGAGTGTTAATGACGCAATAAAGAACAATAACAAATGCCACGCAAATACTGATGACGTAATAGCACATTTTTAGAGAGAGTAGTGAAGACGCTCTTGCAACGAGAAATTATGACGTAAGCACATCATTTGTAGTTGCGACTAAGCATTTATTGTGTACAATCGAAGACGACAAATTGACAAAAAATTGTTTTTTACATTCATGATTTTGTTGGTATTTCAATCTATAAAACATGTAAGATTATGTTCATTATATTATTCGGATGTAAAAGCTAGAAAGGTTGATTGACAAAATTAACTAAAGTTTTTCAGTGAGATGTCATTATGATGATGGTATCCCTATTTATAGAAGAAGATCGTGTTATTGTTTGTTACAGCGTATGCATGGGAAAACTAACAAATAGTTGATTGTTTGATCAAAATCTGATGAAGTAATCAAAATATAATAAATGAATCTAAAATAAACATTTTTCCGACTCTATTTGGGAAAAAAGTTTTGGAAAAAGATAATTATGCCGGGAGTTAAAAGAAAGCGGGGTGCAGGTTGGAGTACGCCATTAGATAAGGCGAAGGGAGCGAGGATCAGAACAGAGAACGAAAGTCCTGAAAATATAACAGCTCGCCTTAAAACTGACAGGGGAGAAGGAAAACAAAAGAAACTCAATAATGAAACGGATGAAGAAAGATTACAACAAGCAAAGCGTAGTTCAAGGGCGACTAAAGCAGAGGAGTATGCACAGAGACGGAGGGAAAGGGACGCTGCTATAAAAAGGCAAAAACGTAAAAATGAAACCAAGGACGAAACAGAAGCCAGAAGGCAAACAGATGCTAAGCGTCATGCTATTTATATAGCTAATGAAACAGCTAAAGAAACAGAAGCCAGAAGGCAAACAGCTGCTAAGCGTCATGCTATTTCTGTAGCTAATGAAACAGCTAAAGAAACAGAAGCTAGAAGGCAAACAGACGCTAAGCGTCATGCTATTTCTGTAGCTAATGAAACAGCTAAAGAAACACAAGCCAGAAGGCAAACAGATGCTAAGCGTCATGCTATTTCTGTTTCTAATGAAACAGTTAAAGAAACACAAGTCAGAAGGCAAAGGGATGCTGAGCGACATGCACTCGCTGTTGAAAATGAGTCTTTGGATGAAACTCTTCGACGCAAACAACAAGACAATGAAAGACATAAACAAGCTATTGCTAGAGAAACATTAGAAGAACGCCAAACTAGACAAATCCTAGATGCTGCCCGCTTTCGAGAAAGACGTGCAAATGTCACACAAGAACAAAGAGCACAAAATACAAATAGAATGAGACAAAATAGAAATAGAATGACTGATATTCCGTTGGCTTGGACTGATTTCGATGATTTCGATGAAAGTGACGTTCAAATACACGATTGTGGACACATGGACCAGGTCTGTGAAAAATGCAGGGCAAGATTTTTTCCAAAAGAGCGACCTACTGATAAAATGTTTACAGTTTGTTGTAATAAGGGAACAATAGAGTTACCACAATTTGAAAGTCATGAGTATTTAAAGAACCTTATGCTTGGACATGACAGAGATTCCAAAATTTTTATGGAACATATACGATCTTACAACAGTGCTTTTGCGTTCGTTTCGGTAGGAGCAAAAATTGATTTTCCCAGAGGTCGTGGACCATTTACGTTTAGAATTCACGGGCAGGTTTATCACAGAAGCGGGACTTTACACCCCACAGAAGGAGTGAAGCCAGTTTTCGCTCAACTCTATGTTTTGGATAAGCAAGTAGCTATATCGGAAAGACTGGATAACGCTGCTAATGCGAATTGCCGAAGACATATAATGGAAACATTGTATGAGGTGATGAAGGAAAACCCATTCTCCTTGGCATACCGGATGATGTATGAAGTTGAGCGTGAAGAAACTGAGAGAGCTATTGCAAGCGGTGAAGAGATTCCTAAAATAACCATGCGATTAATTCAGGATCGAGACCAGGACCAACGACGATACAACGCGCAGCATTGTAATGAGGTTGCCGTAGTTTTTACAAGCTCAGACGGAGAACCACCACTGCAGAGAGACCTAATGGTATATTTGAGAGCTGACGGAGAAAATGTTCAGAGAATGCAACAAGTTTCTATTTTGCATAGGAATTTGGATGCATTATGCTATCCGCTTTTGTTTCCTAAAGGCGAACAAGGATGGGGGGAGGAATTACGACTAACAGGGTCGCGCAGGAATAGTGAGAATACGAGGACTAGAGTCAGCTTAAAGATGTATTATTCATACTACTTGCAAGTTCGAGATTATTTTAACCCTCTGTTAAGCGCTGGGAGACTTACACAACAATACATTGTCGATGCTTACGTTAAAGCCGAGTCAAATGACTTGAACTTTATTCGAACACATCAAAAACAGTTGAGATGTGATACCTACAAACATCTTATTCCTTTTATTCAAAACGAAGATAATGACTCGGCAGTACCTGGTCGTAGAGTGATACTTCCATCCACATTCAGTGGAAGTCCGCGAAACATGCAACAGTTGTACCAAGATGCAATGGCCATTGTTAGAAAGTTTGGGAAACCAGATTTTTTTGTTACAATGACATGCAACCCTAAGTGGCCAGAGATTGAAGAAAGCCTTTTACCAGGACAGAGGCCCGAGAACAGGCCAGACATTGTAGATCGAGTTTTTAAGTTCAAATTGCAACAGTTGTTGAAAGACATTTCAGAGAAAAAAATCTTTGATCGAGTCGTCGCATTAGTACACGTGATTGAGTTCCAGAAGCGTGGCCTGCCCCATGCACACATAGTAATAACTGTTGAAGGTGAATTTAAGCCCAGAACGTCGACCATTGTTAACAAAGTTGTTGTTGCAGAACTACCGGATAAGGAAAAGTTTCCAAGACTTTTTCATGCTATTAGCTCAAATATGATACATGGTCCGTGTGGTGTCTTAAACCCCCAATCTACCTGCATGGTTAATGGAAAATGCTCAAAAAAGTTTCCTAAGAAGTTCTCAGAGGAAACAAAGATAGTACAGGATGGATATCCTATATACATGAGAAGAAAAAACGAACCAGTTACGATTGGGAAGCATTCAATAGATAACTCTTGGATAGTGCCTTACAATGCTTATCTAAGTTTAAAATATGAATGCCACATTAATGTGGAAATTTGCGAATCTTTTTCAAGCATTAAGTATCTGTTCAAGTATGCTTACAAAGGCACTGATAGCGCTAATGTTCAGGTAACAGCTGATGAGATAAAGACTCATCTAGACTCACGATATGTAAGCCCCCCAGAAGCCATGTGGCGGATATTCCGTTTTAAGATGCATGACCAGACTCATGCAATAATTCGGTTACCCATCCATTTAGAAGGAGATCCATATGTGACATTTGACCCCGACAATATTCGCCAGGTGGTTGAATCGGTCCCGGGAAAGGACACAAGGCTGACTGCGTGGTTCAAGTTGAACACAAGAGATGAAAATGCAAAACGATTCAAGTACCACGAGATACCTGAACATTATGTGTTTCAGGAAAAGGAAGGAGTTTGGACTCCTCGAAAGAGATTGCAGGGAAGAGTTATTGGAAGAATCCTCCCCGTTAATATTAATGACACCGAAAGGTACTTTATGAGACTATTGCTTCTCCATGTTCCAGGGGTAACATCTTTTGAATATTTGAGAAAAGTTGAAAGAATTAGCTATGATAGCTACTATAAAGCTGCTAAGGAGAGAGGTTTAGTCATTGATGAAAATGTTTGGAATGAGACATTGGCAGAGGCATGCATTGTTGCTATGCCAAAAGAAGCTCGAGCACTTTTTGCGTACATGTGTTTGTACTGTGAAATTACGGATGCCTCAAACTTATGGAACCAGCACAGAGCCAGATTAATAGAAGATTTTGCATTGAGACACGGTCACCCTGCTGAAGCTGACTGCGACATGTGTGACTCTTTTGGTTTGAACAAAATTGAAGAGATTTTGATAGGTCAAGAAAAAAGATGTAAAAATTACCATCTACCGACACCGAACCCTAACCATATTGGGCAAATGAATGAATACATTGACAGAGAACAAGAGAGCATGTTAGGGCAGGAGATGGAGGCAAACCTGAATGAAAAGCAACGAGCTGCCTTTGATGCGGTCATGGAAGCCGTGAACGATCACACTATAAGAAGCAAGTGCTTTTTTCTTGACGGTCCAGGTGGTACCGGAAAGACTTATCTGTATGATACTTTGCTTCATACAATCAGAGGTAAAGGTCAATCAATGCTTGCGGTTGCCTCAACCGGCATTGCCGCCAATCTTTTGAACAATGGTAAAACCTACCATTCTCAGTTTGGGTTACCTTTAAAACTAAATGAAACTTCTGTCTCTAGATTTACAGCGACTTCTACAGAAGCTGAAAAAATTCGAAAAGCCGTGGGAACTCTTATGGATGAAGCATCAATGTGTCCAGCACTTGCTGCTGAATGCATCAATAAGCTTTATGAAGACATTACGATATCAAATATTGCTTTTGGAGGAAAAGTTTTCTTGGCAGGGGGAGATTTTCGCCAATGTTTACCTGTAGTTCCTGGTGCAGAACCAGATGAAGTAGTTCTAGCAAGTTTAAAGCATTCGAAACTCTGGGACGAGTTTAAAATTTTAAAATTAGATCTCAATGTTAGATCAGTTGACCCCGAGTACAGCAATTGGCTTTTGAAACTGGGGAATGGTGAATTGGGCAATGACTTTGATCTAGGAGAAGACATTATAGAGATCCCAGAACAAATGATTGAGTCAGACGACATCGTCAAGACAATTTACGGGACATGCTTGAAGCACGAACACATGGAACAGTTTTATTGCATTGGAATTCTATGTCCCAAAAATGAAGACGTTGACTCAATAAACCAAAAGGTCTTGGACCTTCTGGAAGGGGAGGAGAAGGCTTATTTGAGTTTTGACTCATTAGTATCTGAAGACAATGAAGACACTAGCGACTATCCAACAGAACTGTTGAACACTTTAAACCCATCAGGTACAGCACCTCATGAATTGAAGCTAAAAGTCGGAGCAATTATTATGCTTTTAAGAAATTTGAACACGAACCAAGGATTGTGCAATGGCTCTAGATTGGTCGTAACTAAAATGATGAGAAATGTCGTGGAAGCCAAGGTTATCACTGGCAAAGTGAAAGGTAACATTGTTCTTATTCCAAGAATTGATCTAAAGACTGACTCTGGACTGCCTTTTGAACTGAAGAGACGACAATTTCCACTGAAGCTAGCCTTCGCAATGACTATCAACAAGTCGCAAGGTCAAACCCTTGACAAGGTCGGGCTATATTTGCCGAACCCAGTTTTTGGCCATGGTCAACTTTACGTTGCATTCTCAAGAGCCCGGAGGAGTGAAGATGTAAAGGTTTTTGTCAAGGACTCAGATGAACAAGGGAAATTAGTAACTGGAAGTGAGAAGGTGTTCACCAGAAATGTTGTATACAGGAGCGTGTTAAATTCGCCAAACTAGGTACACTACAGATGTTACCCAATTTTGAGACTTTGCCCATACAATCAGAGATATAAGCCAAACAAGACAACATATAAAACAAAAACCTTTTCTTTTTGGTGTTTTCATAATCTCAACAATGTTTCATTTCAATTCTCCAGATCAATAAAATGTTTCTTTTTCTAACTTTCCGATAATGACTTTTTTTTAAAAAGCTGAATTACAATTCATTTCATTAATCACTTTCTGTAGATATATGCAGCTTTTTCAGGCATCTCTACTGTTTCTTCTCTTTTCACCTCGGAACGAAATTGAAAAAAAAGTATTTCATAAAAAAATATAGAAAAATCATTATCCGCTACCCCCACCCCCCATCCTTCCACGGAAAGTTTTAAGAGCTGCTACCCGGAGATAAGTATGTAAAAGAAAAACTGAGTAGCATATATGTATGTGAAGAGAAGAGAGCTAAAATTCACAAGAATTGCCCGTGTAACGGGTACCGATGGCTAGTATTTTATAAGAAACCAAAACTTTTATGAAAGAAAGCAAATTATTTTTTTTTTTTGTTTATAATTGTAATGAAATAAAAAACTGTACACAATAGATTTGTGCCAGATGTGATGTTAGACCCTGTCACACACCGATGACCCACTCCCCACCACTGACCGACATATATCGCTTATGTATACATCCCTATTTTCTAAATTATCCCCCACCCTTCTGTTTTTTTATAATTTTAAAGACGACAGATCTAATGTATACAGATCTAGTAGTTTATGACTAGTTTATGACGTAAAGTACATTTTTCGTACACGGAAGTAACTTGTTTGACCCAACCAAATCATTAAGGTTTATATTATAGTGAGTTTAGTATAACGTGAGTTTAGAATACCGTGAGTTTAGTATACCGTGAGTTTAGTATACCGTGAGTTTAGTATACCGTGAGTTTAGTATGTCGTGAGTTTAGTATACCGTGAGTTTAGTATACCGTGAGTTTGGTATACCGTGAGGTTAAAATACCGTGAGTTTAGTATACTGTGAGTTTAGTATAACCTGAGTTTAGTTTACCGTGAGTTTAGTATACCGTGAGTTTAGTATACCGTGAGTTTAGTATACCGTGAGTTTAGTATACAGTGAGTTTAGTATACCGTGAGTTTAGTATACCCTGAGTTTAGTATACCGTGAGTTTAGTATACCGTGAGTTTAGTATACACTGAGTTTAGTATACCGTGAGTTTAGTATACCGTGAGTTAAGAATACCGTCAGTTTAGTCTACCGTGAGTTTAGTATACCGTGAGTTTAGTATACCGTGAGTTTAGTATACCCTGAGTTTAGTATACCCTGAGTTTAGTATACCGTGAGTTAAGAATACCGTCAGTTTAGTCTACCGTGAGTTTAGTATACCGTGAGTTTAGTATACAATGAGTTTAGTATACCGTGAGTTTAGTATACAATGAGTTTAGTATACAGTGAGTTTAGTATACCGTGAGTTTAGTATACCCTGAGTTTAGTATACCGTGAGTTTAGTATACCGTGAGTTTAGTATACCGTGAGTTTAGTATACCCTGAGTTTAGTATACCGTGAGTTTAGTATACCCTGAGTTTAGTATACCGTGAGTTTAGTATACCGTGAGTTTAGTATACCATGAGTTTAGTATACCGTGAGTTTAGTATACCGTGAGTTTAGTATACCCTGAGTTTAGTATACCGTGAGTTTAGTATACCGTGAGTTAAGAATACCGTCAGTTTAGTCTACCGTGAGTTTAGTATAACGTGAGTTTAGTATACCGTGAGTTTAGTATACCCTGAGTTTAGTATACCCTGAGTTTAGTATACCGTGAGTTAAGAATACCGTCAGTTTAGTCTACCGTGAGTTTAGTATACCGTGAGTTTAGTATACAATGAGTTTAGTATACCGTGAGTTTAGTATACAATGAGTTTAGTATACCGTGAGTTTAGTATACCGTGAGTTTAGTATACCCTGAGTTTAGTATACCGTGAGTTTAGTATACCGTGAGTTTAGTATACCGTGAGTTTAGTATACCCTGAGTTTAGTATACCGTGAGTTTAGTATACCCTGAGTTTAGTATACCGTGAGTTTAGTATACCGTGAGTTTAGTATACCCTGAGTTTAGTATACCGTGAGTTTAGTATACCCTGAGTTTAGTATACCCTGAGTTGAGTATACCCTGAGTTTAGTATACAATGAGTTTAGTATACCGTGAGTTTAGTTTCCGTGAGTTTAGTATACCCTGAGTTTAGTATACCGTGAGTTTAGTATACCGTGAGTTTAGTATACCGTGAGTTTAGTATACCCTGAGTTTAGTATACCGTGAGTTTAGTATACCCTGAGTTTAGTATACCGTGAGTTTAGTATACCCTGAGTTTAGTATACCCTGAGTTTAGTATACCGTGAGTTTAGTATACCCTGAGTTTAGTATACCGTGAGTTTAGTATACCCTGAGTTTAGTATACCGGGAGTTTAGTATACCGGGAGTTTAGTATACCGTGAGTTTAGTATATTGCGAGTTTAGTGTACCGTGAGTTTAGTATACCGTGAGTTTAGTATACCCTGAGTTTAGTATACCGTGAGTTTAGTATACCGTGAGTTTAGTATACCTTGAGTTTAGTATATTGCGAGTTTAGTGTACCGTGAGTTTAGTATACCGTGAGTTTAGTATACCCTGAGTTTAGTATACCGTGAGTTTAGTATACCGTGAGTTTAGTATACCGTGAGTTTAGTATACCCTGAGTTTAGTATACCGTGAGTTTAGTGTACCGTCAGTTTAGTATACCGTGTGACTCCCGAGGGCCATGACTTCACTTGTTTGATCCAACCTAATCTGGGAAATATTAAGGTTCGTTGAATAAATAAATATGTGATTTTTTACACACAAAACGGGAAATCCTTCTAGATGAACAATTAGTTGTCAGTCGTTTGAATGTTAAATGAAACAAGGTTAAATAGTTAATGTTTATAACGTATAATTACTTTCTCGTATATACGTAGTATAGAGAAAGTATTGTAATCGTGCAAAAAAAGAAAATCGAGATTTTTACAAATCTCGACGTTTTACACCTCACTGATACGGAAAAACATAATTTTGCAATCTTGTCCGTATGTCTGTGTGTGTGTGTGTCTGTGTGTGTGTCTGTCCGTGTGTAAACACGATAACTTGAGTACCGTTACAGCTAGGTTGATGAAATTTCATATATAAGTATTTTATCAAAATCGTAGATCCTTATCAACTTTTGAGCGATTTCCGATAACCGGAAGTGGTACTTTTCCTACTTTGAATTTTTCAAAAGCCTATAACTTGAGTACTATTTCAGATAGATAAATGAAATTTCACATGTAAGTAAAAGATCTAATTCTCTACCTTCTGTTAAATTTTGAGTAATTTCTGTTGACTGGAAGTAGTAATTTACGCTACTTCCGATTTCTCAAAAAACTAATGTAAATTTTTAAAGTACTAATAATATTGCGCACTATTATACGCGTTTTTATTCGGCGTTTGCTTGGTGCGCAATCTTTTTTTTATGAGATTCTATTCTATTTTTAAAAGTTTAAGTATTTAAAATGGATTAAAAATCATAACTATATCCCCAGTTACCATCCCCTGTTGTTTTATATAAGAATATTCGAGAAAGTTTAGGGGAGATCACTACCGGTTTATTTTTGTTTTAGAATAAGCACATTTTTAGCAATAAAAAGATGTTGTTTGGTAGCTATAGCAGGCAACGTTTAACTTCACACATTTAAAACATGTACCTAACCTTAATTTGTTATGGACAACACTTCGCAATCCGACTGCACGGTGTTATTCCAAATTAGAAAATGTTAAATATAATGCATTCACATTTAAAGCAATAATAGGTACTTCAAAAAAGCAAGAGGAGTGAACAAAATCAATCAATAGGTTATACTGGTAATCTTTTTTTTTAAAGCAGTGATGTATGAGTAAGTCAAATATTGAGATAAAAAATAGTAGAATGTAACTTTTGAAGTAATTAGTAATCAAATTTAACAGCCCATTTTTTTATTTACACAATTTGCTACACTTCATACAGTTTGTTAAACTACTTAAAATTTTGAGTTAAAAAAAACAAAACAAATCTAAGTGGTCATATTTGTTTACTGATGTGAATAGATCACGTGGTTTTCTAGGTGTTGATGTTGTCTGGCCACGGCTATGTGCTAAAATCAGATTTAATTGACTGGTTTTGTTGATCTTGAAGCGCATCAGTCAATGCTCATGTAACACTGCCTCAGTAAGGATGATATTACCCACTGAGGTGTAGTGTTTAAAAGGGCTGACACTGAGATATAACACACGATAAAATGACGCTGTTGTTGTTAGACACTGGCTTTATTTGCAAATCCGTATACGGCTAGTCATTAACATCCAAGCCATAAACGACTATGTAGACAGTAGCCCTTCATTAGGTCTACATGACCAACTTAACATAGGCAACGGCACCGTCCGTGTCATTAGCAGCCTATGGTGTGAATGACGCGGACACATGTACGAACTACCCAGAGGTCACGTGACATGGAACACGGGGACGAACATCGCTCACCAAATAGAATTAAAAAATACATCAACAGTTGAGGTGACACAGGGGCCGCAATCAAATAATTAACAAATTATTCCCCTTGGCTGGTAACCATGGTACGTGTTATACTTATTTACTTTTATTTTAGTATTTGAAGTTTTATAGCTATTGTATTAAAACCATCGACATATTATTGTATGTTTTCCAGATACAAACAGCGGTCTCTGATTTACTCAGATTTAATGAATTGTATGTAAATGAACAACAATATATATATATATATATATATATATATATATATATATATATATATATATATATATATATATATATATATATATATATATATATATATATATATATATATATATATATATATATATATATATATATATATTTATATTTATATATATTTATTTATTTATATTTATTTATAGCCATTTTGCATTAAATGCGATATTTTT